AACAGAGTTATTTTAATTTATAGTAGCATTGCTTACCAGATAGATTTCTGTCAGTTATTCTAAAATTTAGGGGGCAAAATGATTTAGAGGATACAATGCGGGCCCCATCTTTTAAATCAGCAAACCGTTCTTTCAGTGAATGGTCAACAGTTGGGCCAAAGGCAAAGTTGTTCACAAAAACAATGGAAGCACTGGTAATTTTTTCTCTATATTCTTGAGTTAAAAAGTCTCCTTTTAACAATTTATACTCTCCATACTTCTTTCCATACCAGCCCATCCATTTCTTAAAAGACGCGGTCATTTGCTGAAGAAAAGAAAAAGGAATACAGCATTTAAAAAACAGTTAAGTATAAAGAGCAGCAAAGTTCAGTACAGTTTGGAGACCATCAAATTTACCTCTGCATAACGTGAAGGAACATCAGCCTTTTCAACACCAAGGCAAATTTTGCATGGAGTAGCAGCAGCCATTTGTAAAACAACTTGCCCAACACCAGATCCCAGATCCAGAAATACATCCTCACTAGTTATTTCAATTTCATCTATCATTTGACATATTAAATCGTATGATGTCTCACCATATACCTGTGAAATAAATGATTGCAATAAGGCCATGGATAAGTAATAAAAAGTAACAGGTAACCCTGTAATACAATACAGAAACGACTCCTACCTCAGGTGAAAAAGGTTCATATTGATTTAACTTTTCAGGCTCTAATACAGCCTGGTTATAAACTTGCTGTAGTATATGACGCAGTAAACCTCTTGATGGTTGCTTGCTGACTCGTTGTAATGAGGTCCCCTTTTCCTGCAAAACAAGAAGGAAAAATTTCTGAATGACAACCAATAACGGATGGAGAGAGCACAAAAAAGAACTAACTTAAAACAAACAAAACATCAATCAGTAGGACGGCAATAAAAGTGAAGAAATAATCTCCCACAAAAAATGAAAATGCAACTAGATGCTACCAACGCTGACGCTCGTGCCAAAAGTAGTGTATAAAAGTCGGACCTTCTGGTTTGCGGGAACAGAGAAAGGTCGTTAGTTGGCCTTCAACTTGGGTCCGCCATCCACTCCCGCATAAGCTGGGTCATTGACTCGACAGCCCGGCCCGACACGCCCCCCTCCCCCCCACGCTCCCTCATAAACAAAGCAGGGGAGGGGGAGGGGCCCATCAAAGGTGTTCACTGTGTTGTCGCGTGCACTCGAGTTTGCTTGAAAGGGCACACGCCAGCGCCCACTATCATCGACAACACATAATCCATCGTGCCTAATTAATGTGATGGCAATCATTTTCTCGACCCGAGAACGAGCAGCTCTGGAGTCATTTATGTCATCTATGCCCATGCCTCAACAGTGGGCAAAGGGAAGACGATGAGGTGTAGGAGTGGGGTGGTAAAGGCAAGAACCTATCAAAGTAGGAAGTGGGGCGCACAGCAATGCTAGGGTCGTAGCCACGCAGACACCAACACGGCGTAACCCGTGTTTTTATCTAAGAAACTATTCTGTGTCTGTTTTTTAAAATGTCTCAATTTATTCCTGAAAATGTTCATTGATGACAATATTGGGGTAGGTAAGCGGCGAGGGGAGGAGCACGCCAGCCAGAGGGGGTGTCGGTCGAACGCAACCCACCACGACAGACGCACGAAGTTAGGCCATTATCGAAGCGCGAGAGGGAATTCCCGCGCCAGCCGCACGCAGCCAAAGCCGCGCCGAGCTCAGCGTGGGATGCAGCAGCAGCAGCAGCGTCGCGGCAGCAGCGCGCGGTGCAGCCGCCAGTGAGGAGAGGGGGAGAGGAGGGGTGACGGCGCTGACACACATTTGTGCCTCACGCGGCCTCAGGCAGGCAGCGCGCCTAGCGCGGCGAGCTCCATCCATCTATGCAACCGCTCCGCCCGTGTGTCGTGTCGCGGGGCGGAGGCGGAGGCGGAACACACCACATTTACGACTCGTGCAGCATTGCAACGAACAGGGTCCTTCCCCTCCGTCACCGCCGCCGCGGCGCGCGGGGCTGGCAGCGGCGCGGCCTCAGCTGTGACGCCTGCCCTCCCCCTCCCCTCTGCTCCCGCGCACTTTAAATATAGCCTTTTATTTTCGGCAGAGGCGGGCGGTGCGCGTGGAGGAGTGCGCTGGCAAAGCGTGTCGGGCCCCCGCTAGCGCCCGCGCGCGGCGCATCCGACGCGAAAACAAACACCAACACCGCGGAATCGTGCACGCCCTTATGGCTCGGCAGAGCTAGGCTCGGTCGGCGTGCACCTCCTATCGCCGAGTGGTGCAGCACCAGCGTGTACGGTGCATACAGTAGTGGTGCGGACGAACATGGGCAAGGCAAGGCAAGAATGGGATGACGCTTCCCGCTGGCTGCATGTGATGATGTGAGAGGCTGGCGATTCACAGGATCTCCACGCAGCAACATATCGACATCTGCGACGCACCGTCCCTAACGCGCGCACGCATGCACATACGCGCGCGCGCGCGCGCACACACACACACACAACGTGAGGAATGGACGCCGGCCAGAGGTCGAGGCGACCTCGCATCACCGCCTCAGTCCAAGTTGCGATACCGGGCGGCGAGCCGTGCGGCCGAGGCTCTATACTCAGGGCAAGGCATAGCCAGGCCACCTTACATCTTACAGGTCCGAGACGATATTTTTGGTGGGGTAGTAGGGGTTGGACCAGAGCGCCCGTGTATTTCCACCCGCGCATGTGCAAATACACACCACCGCCACCGGAGGTTGTCACATGTATATTGCGAGGGTCATGGGTCCGCGCCGTGTCGGCCTGGTTCGTGAAGGTCCCCTTCAGCTGCTCGACCCCCCCGTGTGCACGACGACGTCGCCGCGCTGATTGGCCGCGTCCTCCTCCTCGCCCGGCTGCGACGCGGCGGACAGTGTCATGTCAAGGCTGATAACGTTATCGCCGCGACAGCAGCGCCCCGCGCGGCCGGCCGCCCGCGCCGCCCCCCGAGACCACGACGACGGCACTGCACTGCGGCCGCAGCGGCGTCACAGCCATAATCTCGACGAAAATAAATGAAAACCAAAACAATCGCGAGAGCGGGCGTTTGGGAAAGAAACAGAGAGGGAGTCGTCCAATCTTTTCGTGAGTTATGATGGTCCGCAGCCTCCTTCCTCCTCCTCCTCTCGGCACGCAGGTCGTCGCCATCACATTACCCGGCTGGCCGTGTGTACCCCCGACGTGCACGCCAGTGTCCATGACCGAGTCCGCGCCGAGCACGGCCGATAAATCAGCGCGATAGGGTTTCGGCACGGCGGCTACACACGGGGCACTAAGCGAGTGCTTGGGAGAGTAGAGGCAGCGGGGAAAGGAGGGAGGGAGGAGGGGAGAGTGTCAACAACCTCGAGGACGGACGGTTCGGAGCGCCACCCGGATGACATCAGAGCGGACCGACACGGCGGTGGACATAAACAGCTCTTTTTATTTCCCCCTCCCAAAAGGTCGACATCAGCACCACCAAGGGTCGCCTCCCCCGCGCGGGCGGCGCGGCGCCTCGCCCAAACGACCGGGGGGCACCCTCCCCTCCCTAGCGCGATCCGCGGGTGGACACACACCACCAGAGTGCGACATCCCCTTTAAATGGCAAAGGGGCGTGGCGGAGCGTGGCGCGCGGGGAAGGGCGAGGGGGTCGGCGTCGGCGCGAAGCACTGGGCTACGGCAGCTACGGCCCGTCCGCCCAGGCTTGCCCAGGCAGCAGAGGCCCCGCCCCTCAGTGGGGGCCCGCGGGGAAGGAGGGGGGTGGGGAGGGAACTGCGCCTCGAGTGGTCTCATCTCCAGGGCCCCTCCTGCTACCCACCTCCCCCATCCCCCGCGACCTCTCCTCACGGCACGGCATTCGGGGCCCTGTTACACTGCGACGGTCGCGGCGATGTGACGTGCGGATCGACGATGCCGACGAGGAGGACGCGCTGCTGCGCCTGCAATCATGTCCCGGCCGACGCAACGCCGGGGTCCTGCACACAGGAGTCTGCACCACCGAGACAAGGTTGCCGACCTCCACCTTCACCCTCTCCACCCGACGTAACACGGCCTCGGCGGCAACCGGCTGGAATGCGAGCGGCGCGGCAGCGGCGGCCCCACCAGCCGCTCTGCTGCTAGACCGCGCCCCGCCCCGCTTCGCCCCGCCTGAGTCCTGGAGCCCGCGCTCGCGATGACAGCCGCGAAGCGGGCCGTCAAGTGTAATCGGGCCTCGCCTCGCCCCCAGCCACCCCTTCTCCTTCACCCGCCCCCCACCGCCGCGGCCGCGCCACCGACGCCGCGCGCCACACGGCTTCAAGGTATTGATTTTCTGGGGACGGCGGCGACGCCACTACGAGCGCGGCCCCGGCCGCCGCCGCCCGCCTCCGCCCGCGCGCAAGCCCCCGGCAGCCGCGGGCAGCCGCCGCCACCACCACACACACACAACGGGTACCTGCGCCGCGAGGGCGCGAGGTCTCCCGCGAAGCCCCACGTCGGACAACACCGCGGCGCTAATGCCACAGCACAGCCGGGGCCACCCGCAAAGCGCATTTGCTTTTCGTCGCACTACACGGTCGACGCTAAGTGACAGGCAGGCCTAGGCAGGCGGCCTGACGGGCATCACTCGCGAGCTCGAGAGCCGTCGTCGAGGCCCTTGCCCGGCGGCCAGCAGCGAGATGACCAAACAAACGACGCGCCGAGGCAGTTGTTCCAAGTTCGCTGTGAACGAGCTGCTGGCGTTTGTCGACGCGGGGAGGGCGGCGAGCCCGTCAACCCTCTCTGGCCGTCACACTGACGCGGCGGGGCGTGGTCGCCCAATCATAACCTGCGACACGCGACCTGTTGAGTAAAAGTGTACAGCCTCGTCCGAAGCGACGACGATGTCCGCCTAGGCTGACTCGTCCGGGGCCGCCGATGTGTGTCCCAAGCGCGTCGTGGGCAAGAAGCGCGGGAAAGCGACTCGGCCAGGGCGCAACCGGCGCCGCCGAGTAGACACCGCGTCATCAGACTGCGCGGGTAAACCGACGCCGTCAGCAAGTTTCCGACCAAGTCAGCTGCTCGACGAGCCCCCGACCAGGCCGACCGAGCTGCGCTGAGCCCGCGGGCCGACCCCAGGTGGGCTGGGCAGGGGCAGAGGGCTCTGCTGCAGCCTCGGGCTTAGCCCAACCACGCCCGCCACATATGGGCCGATTATCCCAGCGCCCCAAACCAGCCCAGCTGCCAGCAGAAGAGCCCACAGCTGGCCCGAGCGGGTCGTAGGCAGGCCCAGCAGCAGCTGCCTCCCTTCGGATCGGACGGCGCGAGCCCGCCGAGGATGCCCTGCCCTCATCGCCCTACTGTACTATAGCATTGCATCGTGGCGTTCCCCGTTCCGCCCCGCCGTCGGCGAGCGTCGCGTTGGCGAAGCTAACTTTGGAGCGCCACCCCTTCTCTCCTCCCCTCCCGGACAGCGGGACAGCCAAGTTGAGCTGCTATGGGTCTGCGGGGGCACGGCGGCGTCAAAACCGAGCCAAAGGGGGTGGCCAGCCCCGTGGAGGGAGGGGGTCCAATGCTCCCGGGGCCCAGCCCGGGGGGTGCGGGTGGGGGACTGCATCACGTGACCACTCGATCAATGCTGCTACCCCGTCCGTCCCGGCCCAGCCCGTCCAGCCCCTCCCTCCAACGCGAGTGAGCGGCGGCTGCCGAGCCTTTAAAGAGGAACAACCCTTGTGTGCAGCCGAGCTGAGCTGAGCAGTGTGGGCCAGACTGCAGGGAGACACCCCAGCCACCACCCACTAGCGCGCCGCCGAGGGGGCTCTCTTCTTGGACTCGGAGGGCAACAACAAACGAACAGAAATCCCATCTCTTTGGTGCTGGTCCCCGGCGGCGCAGCCGTACTTTCACTGCCGGCCGCCTGCCTCAGCCTGCCGCCGCGGGGAA